CACCAAGCTGTATCATCGACAAAGAAATCAAATAACATGATGTTGAAATCTCGACCACCAACCTATGTTCCAATGCAAGTTAAATACTTCAACCTATCTCTTTAGTGTACTAACTTGAGGGGAGTAATAGAGATAGTGATACTATCCAAATAGATATATCACTATAGTCTGGAAAACAAATGCAATATCTTTCGTACTGATACCGAAGTAAATATCCTCTCATTGAAGAGTGGTAATTTTCTCTAGAAAAAAAATAATAAAAAATACAGGTTGGTCCCAGTTTATTGGGTGGTCAAAACTCCAATTACTTCAGTCCAGGACATTCTATCATGATGATCCACAACACAAAGTACAATTATCAATACCATGCACCCAACTCATTACAAATCATGGATCACATTTGTTTTGCATGAAATAACGTGTATAGTGATTGGAGATCTGTTTTAAGTTTTAGTTGATTCAATCGTGACATTTTTTGACTTGTGTCATGTTAAAATTTAAGATTAATTACATTGGAGGTCTATAAAATATGAAATTTATCTCATTTTAGTCTCTAATATTTCAATTGCATCATTTTAGTCCATGAAATATTTATATGTTTTTATATGGTCTTTCAAGCAGACAACGTTCAGATTGTTAGCAATTTTTTATCATAAACTTATCATGTAATATTTAAATATGAACAAAAAATAATTTTGATGGCTCTTAAACAAAATTTGGATAGCTCTTGATAAAAAAAATGTATAATATGGATAACTTTTGACCAAAATTTGATTGTTCATTATCAAAACTATGAAATTTAGATAAATATTTAACTAAAATTTGAGTAAAAATTTGATAAGAGTTATCTAAATTATTTTTTGTCCATATTTAAGTATCATGTGATAAATTTATGATAAAAAAATCGTTAATAATTTGAACGCTGTCTACTTGAGGGACCATATATAAACATATTCAATATATCAGGGACCAAAATGAGACAAGCTCTATACTTTAGGGATCTACAGTGCAATTAATCCTAAAATTTATATAATTATATTCGTTTATAGTTGTGTATAGTATAGTTTGTGTTGTGGTAACTAAGCTCTGCCATGGTAACTAAACTCTCGGAAACTGATCAAGTGGTGCATTGTGAGGTGGTACATTTGGACACTGCAACTAAATTTTGTGTTTCCTTTGTATATGGCTCAAATGAGGAAAATGAGAGGAAGGACTTGTGGAGAAATCTTGTTTACCATGCCGGTCTCTTTAAATCCTACCCTTGGTTAGTTATTGGGGATTTTAACGCTATAAGAAGCTGCAATGAGAACCATGGCAGACTGAACAGATGGGTGCAAGCTATGGGGGATTTTGATGATTGTGTTCAAGAAGCTGAGCTTGTTGATTTGAGGTACTCAGGGCTTTTCTTCACTTGGAGCAGTAGAAGAGAAGAAGGTGCTTGTGTTTCTAGGAAACTTGATAGGGCCCTTGTAAATGAGACTTGGATCCAGAAATTTGATAGAGCTGTAGCTGAATTCTTACCCCCGAGAGTATCTAATCATACTCCTGCAGTGGTGAAGATTGGAGAGGAGGCGAATAGGAAGAAGTGCCCTTTTAAGTTCTTTAATTTTTGGGCTGACAGAGAAGATTTGCTGCACATTATCACCCAGGTATGGCAGGAACCTACTCAAGGATCTAACCAATTCAAACTTTGCTTTAAACTTAAGAAACTAAAAGCAGTGTTTAAAGAAAAGAGCAGGGAAATTGGTGAGCTTGCTACCGTTGTCAGAGAAAAGAAAGCTTTGCTTGATAATTGCCAAAGGAGACTTGACCTTAACCCTTCAAACTCAGCACTTAGATAGGTGGAGAAACTTTTACTCAATGATTACTTGGAGGCTGAGAGGAACGAGGAAATCCTATATAAATAGAAATCCATAATATTATGGTTGAGTGAGGGAGATAAAACTACCACCTTTTGCTTTAAATCTATGAACTGCAGAAGGAACAAGAAGAAGATTTTAAAAATTGAATCTGCTGATGGTAGAATGGTTGATGGAGAGGAAGCAGTTAAGGGTGAAGCTATTGACTATTTTCAGAGACTTTTAGGTACTACCAGCAACCTTACTCCTTCCCTAGAGAGAAGAGCATTATTAAGATCTCTACCACTTAAGAAGATCACTGAGTAGCAAGCAAATCATATGATCAGAGATATTGAAGATGAGGAAATCAAAGAGGTGTTGTTCTCCTTTAATAATATGAAGGCTCCTGGTCCTGATGGATTTACTGCATTCTTCTTCAAAAAGGCATGGCTAGTGATTGGCATAGCTGCAGCGAAAGAATGTTTTAGATCTGGGAAATTACTTAAAGAGCTCAACGCCACTGTGATTGCCCTTGCCCCTAAAAGTCCAAATCCAAACTCAATGGGGGACTTTAGACCCATCTCATGTTATAACTTGTTGTATAAGGCCATCTCTAAGATTCTGGCAAACAGAGTGAAAGCTGTGCTCCAAGGTATTGTAAGCTCTAATCAAACTGCCTTTGTTCAAGGAAGGAAAATTGGGGAGAATATTATGCTTACTCAGGAACTCCTTAGAGACTATCATAGAAATTGTGGTCCTCCCAAATGTGCTATTAAATTGGATTTATAAAAGCTTGTGACATATTGGATTGGCATTTCCTTTTGGATGTCCTTGAAGCTTTACATTTTCCATAAACGGTGAGAAATTGGATAAGGGAATGTATTACTTCTCCTCGGTTCTCTGTTAATATAAATGGGGAGATGGCAGGATTTTTTTCAAGCTCTAAGGGACTTAGGCAGGGTGATCCCCTTTCACCGTACCTTTTTGTTCTGGCTATGGAAGTTTTTAGTTCTGTCATATTGCAGCAAATTACCTCTAATCCCTCATTCAGGTTTCATTGGAGATGTAGGAAGATGACTCTTACTCACCTGCTTTTTGCTGATGATGTCTTATATTTGAGTCATGGAGATACTCAGTCTATAAGAATTTTGAAAGTTGTGATTGACCAGTTTCAAGTCCTCTCTGGGCTTAGAGTTAATCCTTTGAAAAACAATGTATTCATGGCTGGGATGTCTGATGAGGTAAAAGGTCAGATTACTAATATTCTGGGATTCCAAATTGGTGCTCTTCCTGTGAGACATTTAGGGATCCCCTTGGTGTCCACTAGATTCAAGAGACAATATTGTGATGCTCTGATGGAAAAAATGGGGGCTAGGGTGAAAAATTGGACCAACAGGTTTCTATCCTTTGTTGGAAGGCTTCAATTGATTACCTCTGTGCTCAATAGCACCCAAAAATTCTGGTCAGCTCACATTTTTATTCCCCAACAGGTTCTCGATAAATTAGAAAGAATGCTTAGATCATTCTTCTGGAAGGGGACTGATCTCAAGCCTACTGGAGCCAAAGTGGCCTGGGTGGACATTTGCAGACCTAAGAAAGAAGGGGGATTGGGGATTAGAAGACTTAAGGAGATGAATATGGCAATGACGATGAGGTATTTGTGGATTTTATTTATGGACAAAGAAAGTCTCTGGGTGAAATGGATTCATTCTTACCATTTAAGAGGGAAAAGCATCTGGGAAGTTAAGTCACTTCACTCTTGCTCTTGCAATTGGCTGAACCTCTTGAAACTGAGACCAATAGTTAGACCTCTAATTCAACATGTTATTGGTAATGGAGAGAGTACTAGCCTTTGGTTGGATAATTGGCACCCTCATGGTCCTCTTCTACTTAGATGGAGTGATAATGTTATTGATCATGCAGGGTTACCTAAGGATGCTAACGTGGTTGCATTCGTGGGCAACAATAGGTGGTCATGGCCTTCCACAGTACACCTGATCTCTTGGAGATTTCAAATCATATGCCTACATATATTCCTCTGACAAATAAGGAAGACCAGGTGAAGTGGACTATAGCAACAAATGGGCAATTTTCTTCTTATTCGACTTGGAATCACCTTTGGGCCCTTGGGCAAGAGGTACCTTAGCACCATCTGTTGTGGTATGGACAATGCATACCTAGGATAAGCTTCATTCTTTGGCTAGCAATAAAGGAAAGGCTTAGCACTAAAGATAGAATGCAAAAAATTGCACTGGATGTTGATGTGACATGTATCTTATTAGGCATGACATGGAATCTCATTCTCACCTCTTTTTTAGTTGCCAGTTCTCACAAAATATTTGAGTTTTTATTATGCAACTGTGTGGTGAACAAGGTCTACCGAGCTCTTGGCAGAAGTTCATCGATTATGCAAGTCAAAGTTGGAATGATAAGTCACTTGGTAAGGTGTTAAAGAAGCTGTGTTTGGCAACTACTGTGTATATAATATGGAAGGAAAGGAATAGAAGACTCCATACAAACCAGTTTAGGGATTGTAGAAGTCTTGTGAAGTGTGTCTTGCAAATCATCAAAGATAGATTAGTCACAATCAAATTCAAGAGTTCCCCCAAAAACTTGTCTCTCCTTCAAGCTTGGCAGCTTCTTGTTGTGGCTTAGGTTCAACTGATAAGGCAGGAGCTTTTGTCTGTTCTGCGCACTGGGGTGCCCTTATACATGATGATCACGGTTAATCGCTGTTTGTTGTGCTGGTTCTGGGGACATTTGCTTTGGGATGGATCATGTTGCTGGGGGTCTCCTACACCTTGAAGTTTTTTGTTGACAGGAATGCACTGTTCACGTGTACTGTTCAAGTGCACAGCTTGTTTAATGCAGCTGCTGGTCTTTCTCCTCTGTTTTCTTCTTTCTTCAGCATAGTGTTGATGACCTTTATCTGTTGTTTCAGCTGGTTCCCCTCAGCTGCCTTTTATTATGGTGTCTGTTGCCTAGCTCCATTACAGCCTGCCACAGTCGCTGGGCACTGTTCACAGCTTTCTTATTTCACTGCTCTTGAATGTTGCCTTAATTGTTGCATGTTTGCTCTGTTATGAGGAGTTCAACCTAAGAGCATGAAAGGTTCTTCTGGCTCCTTCATCCATTTGTTCTCCCACTTGGCTGTTGGCATGTATGTTGGCATTGAGCTTTCCACATTATCTGATGGAAGCCTTTTTGCTTTCTTTGTCTGCTTTGAGTCTGGATTCTGCTGGAAGTACCAGCTCAAGGTTAGCACTTTCTTTAGAATTCTACACTCTTTGTTGTTGTAAATCTTTTGGTTCTACTTTTGTATTGGGCGGATGCATTGTAATATGAGCATCACCTCTATTTTTTTTTTCTTATGAATATATTTACCTTCCGTAAGTTTGTATATTTTATATCAGGGTATATTTAAACTTATTTGTTCAACCCTTATGAAGGGTCAACTCAATCTTAATACATATCTGTTCAACCCAAATCCATAGCTGATAACTTCGTGTCAACTTTTTGTCGAGTTAACATTCGTCAGTTTAAGAATTGTCAATGCTAATGTATTCATTTTGCATTCTTTATGTCACCTTTACATATAGTGTGTCTTGGAGCAGAAGGGAAACTTTGTGATGAACAAGTCAATTAACTTCACAACTAGCTAACTTACGCTAACAAATCCCAAAGCCATCAATTGCTACAGGCTGTAAACACTACCTTTCTGTGGGAACAGGCGGACAACTAAACATACACAAACAAAACCCTTATTAAATCATTTGTGATTCTCAATATTTTGTACAATAATGTTACACTGATCAAATTTTAGGATCAATTTTAAAGCCCAAATAATATGGCAGCTGACATGGGCTATTTTATTTGGTGTCATGTCATTTGGACTCCAATAAAGACTCCAAATAATATGTTGTCATGTCATTTGGACTTCAAATTTGGTCAGCATAGCATTATTGTATTTTGTAAAGAATAATATTATTTTGCTGGCATATTTTATTGATCTAGTTAACCACAACACAAAGAGGACTCTCTCTCTCTCTTCCTCTCCCCTTTCGTAGGGCTTAGGGCTACTAGGGTATCATATAAAAATATATTTAAGTTGTAGGCATTGCTAAAAATTAGTTTCATATTAACCGACGGAAGAGTTGCATGGATCGATCTCATGATACAAGAGGTTGCAAGAGATGCTTCGTGTGGATCAATGTTCCCTACAAGACTGGATCGATGCCATACTTGTGGGGATCACATCTAATACTTTTTGTTTTCAATTTTTTCTTGGCAGATCATTCATTATTAATAAATTAGGTGCCACATGCATACAATAGATCGCACTTAAATGCATGGTAATTGGCAAGTGATCCACCAAAAAGGAAATTGAAGAAAAAATCTATTGGAAGGGAATTTCACTCCTTGCAGTCTTGGCTTTGCACCATGTGAGCAGAATCACAAGCTCATATTGATTGTTCCAAAATCCATATGAATCTGCAAGTTCATAATAATACTTTTATGTCCTTTGGGGTACATATACAACACTGCGGTAATGCAAGCTTGTACCCCATTTGTTTTAGCAAAGGATAAAAGGCATAATGTTGAGATTTGGCAATTTGTGGAAAATAGGATTGTCTGTCACAGAGTTAAAAAAAAAATCTTTTATTTTTTTTTTTTTCAATGATTAAAGATGTTTAGGTCAATTTATGCATTTCTCGACTAATCTTCTATCTAATCTGGTCAGTGGCAGACCATCTACACCAAAATTAGGATATTCATGAGGGATAAATCCCTTATAACCTGGTCCCAAGAGATTACCAAAATTCAAATTCAAGACGTTTACGTTTACAGCTCACTTCCATTACCACTTGAGTTATCCATTTAGATTAAAATCCTTTTCGTTATACTAGTATTAGATATTACTAGTTTACTACCTCTAACTATATATGTTTGTATTCTTAGATTTCCATTTTATGGAGTTTAAAGGTTTACGCAAAGCTTTATGTCGACTAAATTTCTGAATCCAACGGTCCTCACAAATCGAGCAGCACCACATCAGTGAGCCAAAGATGATACACAAGTTTAGGAACACGAAACGATTAGTTTATAAACCATACACCTAATCAACATAAACTATTCACCAAGTTGTCATGTGGCAGACCAAATAACTTTCACTCCATGTGATTAGAAAGATAATTAAAGAAACACACAAACACACTTCATTGATTAACCTTTTAAATATTGCATTCTGTTGTACATCAAAACGATTAAGAAAGCATAACAATATATATATATTGTAATACTCTAAGTCTTGCAAGATACCTAGGTCAACGATAGGAAATAAGAATACAAAATGACGCTGGCTGTATTGTCAGACATGATAAATAAAATTAGTAAGATGAGGTAGCCATATCTTTATTATCCCATAAAATAATAGATTTGGATCTTACCTAACACATTTCAAGTTTACCCAATTTCAGATTTTCTGCCATATACCAATGAAGTATCTATCTCAACAGACTTCATTTTGATTGGTTGAACTATTGAAGACAATTCATTATATATAGACAATATTCAACTTGGTAGCATAAAACGTAGAGAGATGAGCACTTAAGAGAGCTCAAAACTCAGCTAATGGAGTGGTCTTATAGTTTCCTTACCTGTTTAAGTGTTTCTTTGTTAGCTGCTTTTCTATTATTATATAGCTGGTTAAATGCCAGGAATGGTTATACTAAACGACCACCGGGGCCTCCAGGATGGCCGATTGTTGGCAATATATTTGATATAGGAACAACGCCTCACGAGTCCTTCGACAAACTTCGACTTCAATATGGACCCGTTCTTTGGCTCAAGCTAGGTCCATTGAACACCATGGTCATACAGTCTGCCAAGGCTGCCGCCGTACTATTCAAGAACCACGATCTTTCTTTCGCTGACCGCAAGGATAATGAGGCAATAAAGGCCTTCGGCTACAGCGAAAGTGCAATGTCTGTGACCAAGTATGGTGCCTACTGGCGCATACTGCGTCGACTCTACACAATGGAGCTATTCATCAACAAAAGAATCCATGAGTCGGCTCCAATTAGACAAAAGTGCATTGACAATATGATGGAGTGGATAGAGGAAGAAGCAGTAGCGTCTCGTGGTCGTGGAGGATCAGGGGAAGTGGAACTAATTAAGTTCACTTACCTCATGGCTTTTAATGTGGTTAGCAACCTCATATTTTCAAGGGAAATGAAGTCCGAGGAAAGACGGGAGTTATTCGAAGGCATGAACAAGTTCGTGGAATGGGCCATGAAGCCTAATTTGGCAGATCTTGTGCCATTTTTGAAATGGCTCGACCCACAAAGGATCAAGAAGAATATGGTTCGAGACATGGGACGATTGATGAAAGTTATCACAGGGTTTGTCAACGAAAGGGTTCATGAGAAGCAATTAGGAAGAGAGAATGTGAAAAAAGACTTCTTAGATGTGTTGTTAGAGTACGAAGGTGACGGAAAAGAAGGACCTCATAAGTTTTCAGAGACAAACGTGAACATCCTCATTCTGGTAACATATTAGTAATGCTTGCAAGTACATGAAATCCTTGTAAAAACCATATATATTCTAGTCTAGGTAAATAATATGTATTAACCAAAGTTTTGATTGTGTAGGAAATGTTTTTTGCCGGATCAGAAACAACAAGCTTCACAATCGAATGGGTAATGACTGAGCTATTACGCAACCCTCCGTCGATGAAAAAGGTCAAAGAAGAGCTTAATCAAGTCATCGGACCTAACAAAAAGGTTAAAGAGAGTGACATGGATGACCTTTCGTATTTGCAGGCAGTTGTGAAGGAAACGTTTCGATTACATCCACCTGTTCCTTTACTTCTTCCACGAAACACAATTGAAGACACAAATTACATGGGGTATCTCATACCCAAAAACACACAAGTGCTTGTAAATGCATGGGCTATTGGAAGGGACCCCGATTCATGGGATGACCCCTTGTGTTTCAAGCCTGAAAGGTTTTTGGGCTCTGATATTGATTACAAGGGGCAACATTTTGAGTTGATTCCATTTGGATCTGGGAGACGAATGTGTGTAGGCGTGTCATTAGGTTATAGAGTGGTTAATCTTGTTCTAGCTAGCTTGTTACAATCTTTTGATTGGGAGCTTGATAATTACATGACTCCTGAAACTATGGACATGAAAGAGAAAATGGGAATAACTTTGCAAAAGCTAGTTCCCCTCAAAGCAATACCCAAAAAACGTGCCGCGTGAAAAAATATGTTCTATTTACTTGTTATCTGTACTTGTGTATAAGTTATCCGAAAAAAGGCTCATTATGTCCTCCCTTTCTGGTGTTATGTTTTTAATTTACTTAAAGAAACCTTTGCACAGGTCGCGTTTTGCAATAAAACTTGTTTTTTTCTCAATTTTTTTTCTCGCCTAAGTACGTGTTGCCATAGAGGTTGAATTAGACATTTTAAGTCACTTTGTATTTACTTTATATTAAAACACTTTATTCACCTTCTTTAGTTGAGATGGATTCAGTTTTACCGAGTAAACAAGGAATCTCAATCTCCTATTCTACTCGATCAAAGAACAATCAAATCGACAAATTCATACACCGTGTGCTATGTGTGTGTGTGTGTGTGTGAAAGAGAGAGAGAGAGAGTAGTATTTAGGAGTAGGAGAGAGCTGAGGATGGTGGAGCATGTAAAGAAGCTGACCTGAGAGAGTGACTGATGAGCGTGTGTGTTGGTTCAGTTGAGGAGAATTTTTTTTTTAATTTTTAAGTTAAACTCATTTAGGGCAAATTTTATTAATAACAAAATTATAAAGAGAGGAGAGGATATAAATATTTTTCCTTACATAATAAAAGAACTTTAAATACAAAATAAAATCTTAACAATGACTTCAAACGCTGTATTTTACAATCAACAAAGAGTTCAGAGAATATGAGCCAGTTGACAGTCTAGCAGAAAGTTAGATGAACAGTATCGTGAACAAAACTGGACAGCTGAACATTAATCTACTGTTTTTTTCGAATAACCCAGCTGAAAAACAGTAATAAGAATGCTGAAAGACATAATGCTGGAATAATAGTGGTTACAGCAGACCTCATCAAGTAGAATCAATCCATAAAAAATTAATAATATTTAAATCCATAGGATTTCTTTGGCTTTGACAACTTGAATGTTCTTGATCTTGTCATAATTATAGGTTTGACTTTATCAAGTGACAAAGCCAAAGCAAACGACTCCTCCTCTTTTCTCTTCTTCTGCATCTCAACCTTATTGCATATTGACAGTAACTTTTTAGAAGATGTCATAAAAGAATTGAAATTATTTTCTTAAACTACTGGTCTCTCCTCCCCATCAGAGTAAAAACCTCTTGATTGCTTATGAACAGAAGACCTCTTAACGTAATCATCCTTTGAATAAACTCTTCTTAGCTTCAAGACTTTTTGAATCTCCTCCCCTGATATGCTTGGAATTATCTCTCCTTGACTATGAATATTTTTATGAACTGCTACCATCATTTCCAGAGTAATGGACTTTGATTTCTCCTCGGCCTCCACTGTTAAGTATTCAAAATCTTGCTTATAGTAACCATAATCCAACAAGGAAAAGCACTCGTCTATCCCATCGTCTGAGACATCTTCAGAAGAAATAAAAAATTCATTCTCATCCTCCTCATTATTTAAATTAACCAACTTATATGCAGCAGAATCATAGCCTGATGCAACATGATTTTTCGTTAATTCTTGATCAGTGGGATTAATTTCATTTACAATCTACGGTTCTTGGATTTCTGAGTGCTAGTTGGTGTTCATAAGATTTTGTTCATGATTCTCTTTTTCTAGTATCGAAGCTGACTTAGACAATGGTGGATTCTTTGAATCTTTGGCCTGAGGATTGGTTTCATTGTTCTAATCAGGAGGACCGGCATCATTGTTTTGATCAAAAGGATTGGCTACATTGTTCTGATTAGAGGGTGTATCACATGTCGTAGGATTCTCAGAATCTATCAGCTACACACTTTCCTTTGGAGGAATATATTTTCCATGCTGCACTATTTTGTCTTTACCCAAATGATCACCCTTTTCCAATCTTGTAAAAGATTTCTCTTTCTCCATGTCACCTTCTGTAATTACCGAAGAGATTTCCTTGCCAAAAGTAACTGTTGTTTCCTTTATTGGGTTATTGACTTGCTTAGGCTGTTGTTGCTTCTTCCTAAGGGTGGCAATTTTTGACACAACACGATAATCCGATACGAACATAACATGAATAAATGGGTTTAGGTTGACTAAATTTTTGACCCAACCCGTGTATGACATGACCTGTCAACACGGAGTGTTAATGGGTCGTGTTCGGGTTCAACCCGTTTAACCCGAATTTATCCAAATTGACCCGTGTATTTAATCAGGTTGACACGAATCCGACTGACCTGTTTTGACCCGAAATTACCCACTTATATATAAAAGAATTTAATTACTATTTCTCAAACCCTACCTTTATTCCTACTTTTCTCTATCCAGCAGACCCGTCTCCCTCCCTCCCTGAGCTCCCTCTTTCCCTCGGTCTCAGCTTGGCATGGGCATTGGCAACCAATAGGTCCGGCAGTACCAAGTAAGATCTCTCTCTCTCTCTCTCTTGCTCTTTCTCCGTCCGACAGTACCAAGTAAGATCGACTAGTTGTCACTACATTTATTTAGGCTATTATGTTTCTAATAGTTGTCACCTTGTGCAAATATGCTAATGGCTAATTTAGATTTTTTTAATGCTTAGAGAAACACTATGTTGAATGTGCAAGACATAAGAAAGGTGATGCTCACAAATTTTGTGAACCATTAAAACGATGTTTGTAGGAACTCTGTTAAATTTAAGTTTTTAATATTGTTCAGAACTCCCCTATCATGAAGCAAATTTAGTGACAACAAATCATACCATTTTATGGTTGTGTCATAGTTCAGATAGAGTAAGCACAGAATTTAAGTAGTCTAATCCTTCGTGCAGTTGGTTGGGATATTCAGAGTCTTCCGTATTTTAGCAAGTCTTTCTTTGAGCTTTGCTTGCTACCCCGCAAATGTCTTCTGACATTTTGGTGAGCTTCTATCAAGATGCCATTAGTTTGGGTGTTTTAGGAAGAGTGGTTGGCATCTCCACCAAACAAAGTAGTATTTTATGCACTTCTTGATAGATTTTCAGACATGATGTTTGAGTTCAGGTTCAAAGGAGGGGAAGAAACAAGAATAACTACCGATAGTCTGAAAGGTTATTTGGATTTTTTTAATGCTTAGAGAAACATTGTGTTTTATGTACAACCTCCATATTGTGTAAACTTCTGCTCTTCTTTTGTTTATATTCACTAAAATCAAATAGTCTTCTGCATTTCTTTTGTTTTTCGACTTACTTTTCGTATTTTGAATGTTCATTAGGTTTCTAATTGACAAATAATCTTGCTAGGAAAATGGAGGATACATCATGTACTCAACCGACTGTGGATGTCAATATTGAAAATGCATCCAATGTTGTCCCAGATATAGAAAGTGGAGATAATACGAATGATGAAAAACGGCAACGTACTTTCACATCAGTGGTATGGGGGTTTTTTAGAAAATAAGTAAATCAAGACAATATTTTAAAGGCACAATACAACAAATGTAAGATTGAGTACAATGCTGCTAGTAACTATGGGACTGGTAATTTATGGCGTCATTTAAAGATTTGTTTGAAACAACGTGATGTGGGCCAGATGATTTTTAGTCAAAGTCAAGAGTCTATTACTGCACGGTCTTTGAAGTTTAATGAGGAAAAATTTCGAGAGATGTTAATAAGTGCAATAATTAGACATGATTTGCCCTTTCAATTCGTTGAGTATGAATGTGTTAGCCAAATCTTTAGCTACTTAAATTTAGATGTCAAATTCATTACAAGAAACACGACTAAGGCTGATATTCTGAAATAGCATGCAAAAGAGATGTGTAGGTTGTCTGTTATCTTGCATGACATACCTGGCAGGATTGGTTTGACTTCTAATTTGTGGACATCTATTGCTACCGATGGGTATTTAAGTCTCACAGCACATTTCATCGACAAAGATTGGGTAATGCAAAAAAGAATTTTGAATTTCTCTTACATGCCTCCTCCACACAATGGCATTACACTGGCTGACAAGATTTATAGTTTGTTAACAAAATCGGGGGTTGAGAAAAAGTTGTTTTCAATTACTTTGGATAATGCTTCTGCAAATGATGTCATGGTTGATATGCATAAGAATCAACTTAATTTGATAGATGTTTTGCTTGGTGATGGTGAATTTTTTCATATTCGTTGTTGTGCTCATATTCTAAACTTGATTGTGCAAGAAGGGTTGAAAGAAGTAGATTTAGCTGTGGAAAAATTCAAAGAGAGTGTCAAGTATGTAAAAGGTTCTCAGACAAGAAAATAAAAATTCTCAGGGTGTGTTGCACAGACATTTTTAGATAGCAAAAAAAGTTTGAGGCAAGATATTACTGCAAGATGGAACTCAACATATTTGATGCTTGCAAGTGCAATTTACTACCGTCGT